CAATAAGGCACGAGGGGGTATGGTATATGGCCAATATACCATGGCTAAGGGCTGTTCTTAAGCATGACGCAACGCGGCGTGCCTGGATACAGCCATTAACCGTGGTATATTGGCCATATAACACAAACCCCCAGGGTGACTTATTATAAACTGGTTACCAACGTAAAACTACTTTTTTGTCATACCCATGGTATATGGTCTGACATACAGTGCCTTTGGAAAGTATTCAGACCCCTTGACTTTTCCACATTTTGTTAGGTTACAGCCTTATTCTAAAATTGATTAAATGCTTTTTTCCCTCATCAAATCTACACACAATATCCCATAATCACAAAGCAAAAACAGGTTTTTAGAAATGTTTGCTAATTTATAAAATAAAATAAACGGAAATATCACATTTACATAAGTATTCAGACCCTTTACTCAGTACTTTGTTGCAGCACCATTGGCAGCAATTACAGCCTTGAGTCTTCTTGGGTATGACGCTACAACCTTTGCACACCTGTATTTGGGGAGTTTCTCCCATTCTTCTCTGCAGATCATCTCAAGCTCTGTCAGGTTGGATGGGGAGCGTCGCTGCACAGCTATTTTCAGGTCTCTCCAGAGATCGGGTTCAACTCCGGGCTCTGGCTGGGCCACTCAGGGACATTCAGAGACTTGCCCCGAAGCCACTCCTGCATTGTCTTGGCTGTGTGCTTAGGGTCGTGGTCCTGTTGGAAGGTGAACCTTCGCCCCAGTCTGAGGTCCTGAGCACTCTAGAGCAGGTTTTCATCAAGGATTTCTCTGTACTTTGCTCCGTTCCTCTTTGCCTCGATCCTGACTAGTCTCTCAGTCCCTGCCGCTGAAAAACATCCCCATAGCATGCTTAACCATGATGCTTAACCCTTTGGCAAACTTCAAGCGGGCTGTCGTGCCTTTTACTGAGGAGTGGCTTCCGTCTGGTCACTCTACCATAAAGGCCTGATTGGTGGAGTGCTGCAGGGATTGTTGTCCTTCTGGAATGTTCTCCCATCTCCACAGAGGAACTCTGGAGCTCTGTCAGAATGACCATCGGGTTCTTGGTCACCTCCCTGACCAAGGCCACTTCTCCTCCGATTGCTCAGTTTGGCCGGGCGGCCAGCTCTAGGAAGAGTCTTGGTGGTTCCAAACTTCTTCCATTTAAGAATGATAGAGGCCACTGTGTTCTTGGGGACTTTCAATGCTGCAGACATTTTTTGGTACCCTTCCACAGATCTTTGCCTCGACACAATCCTGTCTCCGAGCTCTATGGACAATTCCTTCGACCTCATGGCTTAGTTTTTGCTCTGACATGCACTGTCAACTGTGGGACCTTATATAGACAGGTGTGTGCCTTTCCAAATCATGTCCAATCAATTGAATTTACGACAGGTGGACTCCAATCAAGTTGTAGAAACATCTCAAGGATGATCAATGGAAACAGGATGCACCTGAGCTCAATTTCGAGTCTCATAGCAAAGGGTCTGAATACTTATGTAAATAAGGTATTTTTGTTTTTATTTTTTTATACATTTGCTAAAATTTCACAAAACCTGTTTTCGCTTTGTTATTATGGGGTATTGTGTGTAGATTGCTGAGGAATTGTCACGCCCTGACTCGATGACTCGTTTATGTTGAGTCAGGGTGTGTATATTCTTTGTTATTTAGTATTTTCTATGTGGGATCTAGTATGTACAGTGGGGAATAAAACTATTTGAAAATCACATTGTAGGATTTTTAATGAATTTATTTGCAAATTATGGTGGAAAATAAGTATTTGGTCAATAACAAAAGTTTCTCAATACTTTGTTATATACCCTTTGTTGGCAATGACACAGGTCAAACGTTTTCTGTAAGTCTTCACAAGGTTTTCACACACTGTTGCCGGTATTTTGGCCCATTCCTCCATGCAGATCTCCTCTAGAGCAGTGATGTTTTGGGGCTGTCGCTGGGCAACACGGACTTTCAACTCCCTCCAAAGATTTTCTATGGGGTTGAGATCTGGAGACTGGCTAGGCCACTCCAGGACCTTGAAATGCTTCTTACGAAGCCACTCCTTCGTTGCCCGGGCGGTGTGTTTGGGATCATTGTCATGCTGAAAGACCCAGCCACGTTTCATCTTCAATGCCCTTGCTGATGGAAGGAGGTTTTCACTCAAAATCTCACGATACATGGCCCCATTCATTCTTTCCTTTACACGGATCAGTCGTCCTGGTCCCTTTGCAGAAAAACAGCCCCAAAGCATGATGTTTCCACCCCCATGCTTCACAGTAGGTATGGTGTTCTTTGGATGCAACTCAGCATTCTTTGTCCTCCAAACATGACGAGTTGAGTTTTTACCAAAAAGTTATATTTTGGTTTAATCTGACCATATGACATTCTCCCAATCCTCTTCTGGATCATCCAAATGCACTCTAGCAAACTTCAGACGGGCCTGGACATGTACTGGCTTAAGAAGGGGGACACGTCTGGCACTGCAGGATGTGAGTCCCTGGCGGCGTAGTGTGTTACTGATGGTAGGCTTTGTTACTTTGGTCCCAGCTCTCCGCAGGTCATTCACTAGGTCCCCCCGTGTGGTTCTGGGATTTTTGCTCACCGTTCTTGTGATAAATTTGACACACGGGGTGAGATCTTGCGTGGAGCCCCAGATCAAGGGAGATTATCAGTGGTCTTGTATTTCTTCCATTTCCTAATAATTGCTCCCACAGTTGATTTCTTCAAACCAAGCTGCTTACTGTCTTTTATACTGATAACAAGTTCAAACAGGTGCCATTAATACAGGTAACAAGTGGAGGACAGAGGAGCCTCTTAAAGAAGAAGTTACAGGTCTGTGAGAGCCAGAAATCTTGCTTGTTTGTAGGTGACCAAATACTTATTTTTCCACCATAATTTGCAAATAAATTCATTAAAAATCCTACAATGTGATTATTTGGATTTTTCTTTCTCAATTTGTCTGTCATAGTTGACGTGTACCTATGATGAAAATTACAGGCCTCTCTCATCTTTTTAAGTGGGAGAACTTGCACAATTGGTGGCTGACTAAATACTTTTTTCCCCCACTGTACCATATACATTTACATTTTAGTCATTTAGCAGACGCTTTTATCCAGAGCAATTTACAGTAGTGAGTGCATACATTTCATACCATATGTAGTGTATGAACAATATATATGTAACAAAATATCTGTAAAACGAAGTAACTTTTGTCCTCTGAAGAGGTTGGAAGGGCTAATAAAAATAAATAAAAAATAGAGTATTTAATGGCACATTTCCATACAGCATTTAGCCCAGTGTTTCACCCAAAAGGCTCAGACTTTTCTGTTTCCAACTACACGGGCCGGCATCGGTCTCACTGGGCCATGGCTCCGGCAGACCTGCTCTCACTTGGGGCCAAAGCCAGGCCACTGGTACTTTTCAGGTTTACATAACAATAGCTAACTGTGAACTTGAACACCTTCTCACAAAGCAACTGTTGTGATAATGCAGGGGTTGTTGATTCTGCTCTTCACAAGTCCTCACTGTCAGCCCTAGCTATGTAAACACAATTTCCCAAGTATAACTTAAGGTTGTATATACACTAGTGAGGACTTGAGTTTACACTGTAAAGAGCTTTGGGTGTCTAGAAAAGTGCCATGTAAGTCCAATCATTATAATTATTAAAATGTTTTGCCATATTCCATGCCTTTGTACAGACGGAAACTGGCATAAAATACCCCAAAAAGTGGACTGCAAGGCTACGTTAAGTTAAATAAATGACTAGTAAGTGCCTAGGTGCAAAATAAAGTTAACAGGGTTGAAGTTTCTTCAAATCAGCCAATTTCAAAAATTGAAATTTCTGTGAACGTTTGTGAAACTGTACATTTACTTAATAAATAAAATAAATCTAAAATCAAGATGTGTCAATTTGTTTGTCTACATGCCATTTTAAAAACAATGCAGATATTGGAGTAAACCTATTTTGGGTTAAGATCAGTAACTATGAGTAAGGGAAAACATGATAAGCTTGCAAGCTGACTTTGAATAAGACATCCGATTACCCCTTTGCATTTAGAACGGTTGGTTTTATTATAGCTAATTAAACATGTACAAATAATTGATGGAACACTAGATAAAATAAATGCATGTCTCTCGTCTCCCCTGCAAGCCGGTCGGCATACACACACCCCCTCATCTGATTGGTCATTGCCCGCGAACCGTAAGCCGGCATACGTGTCATATCACACTCACTCATAATAATAATAATAATAATAATAATAATAATATGCCATTTAGCAGACGCTTTTATCCAAAGCGACTTACAGTCATGTGTGCATACATTTTTAAGTATGGGTGGTCCCGGGGATCGAAACCACTACCCTGGCGTTACAAGCGCCATGCTCTACCAATTGAGCTACAGAGGACCAATACTCATCCCATTGGTCGAGTAGGCGGGCCTTATGACTTTGTGGCTAAAGTAACTAGTGACGACCAATTTTGTGTAGGCCCATTTATTTTTTATTAAACATTGTTAAACACTCCACTATTACTGCTGATATATTAAAAGGTATTTTTCTGAAATTACAATGCAAAAATATTACATATAGCTCCTTGTAAAACACTTCTTTTCCTCAACCTGTTAACAATAAATAGTCCAATTAAGAATAATTTACAGTATTATGTTACAAAAGCGCAGTGAAAACTGGAATTGTTATAGATTAAAGTTACACACAAAGAGGAAGGACTCCATGCCCCAATTTAAAGACACCCGCTATATAGAAGTATTTCGACATAATCCACATTTGTAGCTTAATCCACATTTGTAGCTTGAACATTTCTTTTAGTGTGTTAAAAAATAAAATAAAAATCTGACATTTAGTATTTGAACATTGTGTCAATGTGATTTCTCATATCAAAATCCTTAGCTGACATCTAGGCATTGGCTGTGTCCGAATTGGCAACCTATTCCCTACATAGTGTACTCCTTTTGACCTGGGCCCTATAGGCTCTGGTCAAAAGCAGTGCACTATATAAGAAATAGGGTGCCAATTTGGACACACAGTTCGTCCTGGAAACACGCTTCTTAATTTCTGGCATTTGCTGCAATGTAGTCAGGCAGGATCTCGACCGTAGTAATCTGATGCCGGACTGCATAGTCGATGACGTGGCACACAAACATTGGTTGATGCAATGCAACATCTCCAACGTAGTCATCCTGGAACGTGACCATATTTCTGTCTATAAAACCCCTCAATATGATTGGTCCTTTAGTCAGCTGGGGACCTCTCTAAAACACGCCCCTTTACTGACAACCAGGCATCATAGGATGGAGCGCCTGGTGTGGTGTCACACAAAAGCACACAAGGGTTGTTTGTGTTCAGTAGGGCGCAACGTTACAAAACGTTTTGCTACAGAAAAATGAAGTGAGCTTTCAGGTAGTTTCAAAGCGTTGGTTGAGAAGAAAAACCAGACACTAACACAGCGATGTAGCTGGGTTAGTGGGAGTTGGAGTAGATGTGGAAGTGGAGTGTCAAACGTTTTTGCTTTGATATGGAGAAGGGACACAGACAGTCAGACACACGTATGTTTGGCCTGGGATACAAATTCACATCAGTTCCACTCATATGGCTTATTCAGTTTCAACAGATTAAATGATTAAGTGATGTGTTAGTTCACACGGACGACTAAAACTGACAAGATGGAGAAGGAAACGCTACCAGCAGTTCATCAGTAGTTCTTTTCAAGTTTATCTGACATTTACATTTTGCACTCAAATGTCTTCGGTTTGATATTTCTCAGAGGGAAGAAGAGGGAGCGAAAAGGACAAGGACAGAGAAATGGAAAGATACACAGACAGAGACCCAGTCTTTTGTTCAGATATGGCATAGTTTTTTTCTTTACATGAGGTTATGTTTTGTAAACGGGATTCATTTTTTAAGTGTTTTTAAAAAAGGGCGGCTCGCTAGGCAGAACAGACAGAATGGTCCAAACAAACATGCCAGCTGGAACCTGTCAGAACCAGTTGAAACCGGTCAGAACCAGTTCCGAACCAGTTGAAACCAGATCCGACCCCATCAGAATCAGTTGAAACCGGTCCACAGGCCATCAGAACCAGTTGGAACTAGTCCACGTTCCTTTAGAACCAGTTGAAACCGGACCACAGACCTTCAGAACCATCTGAAACCATTTCAGAACCCATTAGAACCATCAGAACCCGTTTAAACCTGTTCCAGTTGGACTGTGCCAAGGTAGATTTGAGTGCTTTTTCTGTTCAGGCCAATGGCCATGGTTATTGCACTTTCTTTTACAAACTATATAGCGGAAGGAGTGTTTCTCCACCCCCTTTGTCCTTCTTAAGTCTGAAGGAGTGTGAGGGGCAACTCTGTGACAGACAGATCCTAAACCCCGCCCCAGTTCCATTCAAACTTATGAGGGCGGGAGGGGCAGCTATGTGACAGACATTTTTTAAAGCCGCACCCAGTCTATTCAAACTCAAGGTGGTGGGAGGTGCGGCTCTGTGACGGCCAGCTCCTGTGCCAAATCGTTGAAGCGGGCGATGTAATCCACGCTGCTCTCACTCATCATGCAGGCCAGCTGGGTGTCTACCTGCAGGGACGAAGATAACCACATATTAGATTGTCACGGAATGACAGAAGAACATGCTTCCACAGAGTATTGACAAGGGGGTGACCAACATTGGAATCTTGTTTTTAATACATTTGCCCAAAAAGTAAGAATTTGGTGTTGCTTTAAAAAAAATACAATATAATGTATTCAAACTCTAAACTAGCTACCCAGTGACACAAGCCTACCAGATGAGCTAAATTACTTCTATGTGCGCTTCGAGGCAAGCAACACTGAAGCATGCATTAGAGCACCAGCTGTTCCGGAGGACTGTGTGATCACGCTCGTCGTAGCCGATGTGAGCAAGACCTTTAAACAGGTCAACATTCACAAGGCCGCAGGGCCAGATGGATTACCAGGACGTGTACTCCGAGCATGCGCTGACCAACTGGCAAGTGTCTTCACTGACATTTTCAACCTGTCCCTGGCCCAGTCTGTACTACCTACATGTTTCAAGCAGACCACCATAGTCCCTGTGCCCAAGAACACCAAGGGAACCTGCCTAAATGACTACCTAGCCGTAGCACTCACGTCTGTAACCATGAAGTACTTTGAAAGGCTGGTCAGGGCTACATCACCACCATCATCCCAGAAACCCTAGCCCCACTCAATTTGCATACCACCCCAACAGATGACGCAATCTATTGCACCTGGACAAAAGGAACACCTATGTGAAAATGCTGTTCGTTGACTACAGCTCAGTGTTCAACACCATAGCGCCCTCAAAGCTCATCACTACGCTAAGGACCCTGGGACTAAACACCTCCCTCTGCAACTGGATCCTGGACTTCCTGACGGGCCGCCCCAGGTGGTAAGGGTAGGCAACAACACATCTGCCACGCTGATTCTCAACACGGGGCCCCTCAGGGGTGCGTGCTTAGTCCCTCCTGTACTGCCTGTTCACCCATGACTGCGACTCCAACACCATCATTAAGTTTACCGATGACACAACAGTGGTAGGCCTGATCACAGACAACGATGAAACAGCCTGTAGGGAGGAGGTCAGAGACCTGGAAGTGTGGTGCCAGGACAACAACCTCTCCCTCAACGTGATCAAGACAAAGGAGATGATCATGGACTACAGGAAAAGGAGGGCAGAGCACGCTCCCATTCTCATCGATGGGGCTGTAGTGGAGCAGGTTGAGAGCTTCAAGTTCCTTGGTGTCCACATCACCAACAAACTATCATGGTCAAAACACACCAAGACAGTCATGAAGCGGGCACACCAACGCCTATTCCCCCTCCTGAGACTGAAAAGATTTGGCATGGGTCCTCAGATCCTCAAAAAGTTATACAGCTGCACATTGAGAGCATCCTGACTGGTTGCATCACCGTCTGGTATGGCAACTGCTCTGCCTCCGATCGCAAGGCGCTACAGAGGTTAGTGCGCACGGCCCAGTACATCACTGGGGTCAAGCTTCCTGCCATCCAGGACCTCTGTCAGAGGAAGGCCCTACAAATTGCCAAAGGCTCCACCCACCCTAGTCATTGACTGTTCTTGACTACCGCACGGCAAGCAGTATCGGAGCGCCAAGTCTAGGTCCAAAAGCCATAAGACTGCTGAACAGCTACTCAAATGGCTAACCGGACTATTTGCATTGACCCCCCCTTTCTTTACGCTGCTGCTACTTGCTGTTTATGATCTATTTTCTATGCATAGTCAATTTATCCCTACCTACATGTACATATTACCTCGACTAATCTGTACCCCCTGTACATAGCCTTGTTATTGTTGCTCTTTAATTTTTTACTTTAGTTTATTTATTTTTTCTTAAAACTGCATTGTTGGTTAAGGGCTTGTAAGTAAGCATTTCACGGTAAGGTCTACACCTGTTGTATTCGGCGCATTTGAGAAATAAATGTATCTTTGATTTAAACTGTAAGGAAACAAAAAGGTGAAAATTGTGCAAGGGAGGGGTGTAGCAATACGCTTCCTAATGGGGTGGTCTTACCTCTGCTACGTCTGGCAGGCCGCGGGACTGAAAGGAATCATGGGAGTTGCAGTCCAGAAATCTGGGTCCGAGGAGGGCTGTTCCACTGGAGGGGGTCAGGGAGCTTCGTCTGCCCTTATCAGGAGACACCAGACTTGCTGTGTGTGTGGGGGGGAGAGAGAGAGAGAGAGAAGAGAGAAAGAGAGAAAGAGAGAAAGAGAGAGAGAGAGAGAGAGAGAGAGAGAGGAGAGAGAGAGAGAGAATGAAGGGAGTGAGTTAAAGTTGTTTGAAATTGAGACAATACAATTCAAAACTAAATCTCAGTTGAGAGAATGCTTCTGGGCTCAGAGTAATCCTGCTTCAATTGGCTTCATCATCAGGTTCAGTTCAACTGAAAATCATCACTGCCAGAGACTGGTGATAGTGGCTGCGTGTACGTATATACTGTACGTGTGTGTGTGCGTGCATTCATACATATAAGTGTGTGTGTGTCTGTCTTACATAGCAGGCAGCCAAATGAAGAGTCAGTGGAGTCGTTGGGGTACCACTGAGGGTCGTGGCTGGGGGAAGGGATCCAGCCTCTGGAGGGGCTGACTGAGGTAGAGGGTAGGAGCTTAGAGCACTCACTACCATTCAACTTGGCAGGAGAGAGGGATGCCTCATCACCTGAGAGAGAGCCAAAGAGAGAGCGCACATGAGAGAGATGTAAACAGATTCAGGCAACACTACAAAAACAACAGTACAAAATCCCCTTTATAGAAGCACACACACCTAACAACACCCCCTTCCCTTACCATAGTGTGCCGAGTTGATGGCCAACTCAATGATTGAGTCACTGATGTGTGTTTGTGGCCCTCCAGGAGCCATGGCTTCCTCCGGGGGTCCCGGGAGAGAGATGTCCAGCAGAGAGGCCATGCTGGGCGGGGAGAGGAGAGAGTCACCTGCCACTCCTGGAGATGGAGGGGGGAGGCCGTTCTGCAGTGAAACCTGGTGGAGGGTTAGTGAAAGAATGATACAGGGTTAGAATTAAGGTATAAAAAATATATATGAAAAGCTGTGCTCTTATTGGACAAGTTCCTGTAGCACCTCCCTCTTTGAAAACAGTGTCCGGCCTTTTGAACACGACCCAGGTATACATAGGGTCTGTTGTCTTTTAGATCTTTCTCTCCATCACTGTTTCTCTTTCCCTTCTTCTTTCAGTGTTCCACTCACCTCAGAGGAGGCCTGCTGGAGGAGCGGTGTCTGGGTAGGACCAGGACCAGCATGCACCACTCCAGGGTGAGAGGTCGAGAGGAGGGGCCTTCCGTCTGGACTGGGGGCCTCCAGCTCCCGACAGGGGCTGCCTGGGATGATGCCTGCTGACTTGGCTGCCAGGTCAATGGCACCTGGATGGAAAAACATAGAATCATCACACATTGAATTGTCAAGAGTCCGATTATAGATGAATTGCACCATCACGCTTTAGCTTGCGCTAATTTCCAGCATCAGTGGGCCTGGCCTAGGTGGGCCTTAAAATAAGAAAATGGTCTAAAAAAGGTGAAAGAGAAGAGGAGAGAAAAAAAAAAAAAACAGGGTCTAAACCGAACACCTGCCACTTGTCAAATGGGAGTAGATTTTGGCATTGGCGGGTAAGAGGTCTATTTTATCAGCCACGTTGGTGGGTGGTCAGGGCTTCACAGTGCGAGAATTTCACTCGCATTTGTGAATACAAATAACCAAGTATGATCACATTTATAGCAATATACACTACATTAGCAAAAGTATGTGGACACCTGCTCGTCTAACATCTCATTTTAAAATCATGGGCATTAATATGGAGTTGATCCCCCATTTGCTGCTATAACAGCCTCCACTCTTCTGGGAAGGCTTTCCACTAGATGTTGGACATTGCTGCGGGGACTTGCTTCCATTCAGCCACAAGAGCATTAGTGAGGTCGGGCACTGATGTTGGGCGATTAAGCCTGGCTCGCAGTCGGCGTTCCAATTCATCCCAAAGGTGTTCGATGGGGTTGAGGTCTGGGCTCTGTGCAGGCCAGTCAGGTTCTTCCACACCGATCGACAAACCATTTCTGTATGGACCTCGCTTTGTGCACGGGCGCATGGTCATGCTGAAACAGGAAAGGGCCTTCCCCAAACTGTTGCCACAAAATTGGAAGCACAGAATTGTCTAGAATGTCATTGTATGCTGTAGCGTTAAGATTTCCCTTCACTGGAACTAAGGTGCCTAGCCAGAACCATGAAAAACAGCCCCAGACCATTATACCTCCTCCACCAAACTACAGTTGGCACTATGCATTCGGGCAGGTAGCGTTCTCCTGGCATCCGCCAAACCCAGAAGTGTGTTTCATCACTCCAGAGAATGCGTTTCCACTGCTCCAGAGTCCAAATGGCGGCGAGCTTTACACCACTCCAGCCGACGCTTGGCATTGCACATGGTGATCTTAGGCTTGTGTGCGCGGCTGCTCGGCCATGGAAACCCATTTCATGAAGCTCCCGACTAACAGTTATTGTGCTGACGTTGCTTCCAGAGGCAGTTTGGAACTCGGTAGTGAGTGTTTTATACGTTCTATGCACTTCAGCACTCGGCAGTCCCGTTCTGTGAGCTTGTGTGGCCTACCACTTCGCGGCTGAGCCGTTGTTGCCATTAGACGTTCCCACTTCACAATAACAGCACTTACATTTGACCGGGGCAGCTCTTGCAGGGCAGAAATTTGACAAACGGACTTGTTGGAAAAGGTGGCATCCTATGACAGTGCCTCGTTGAAAGTCACTGAGCTCTTCAGTAAGGCCATTCTACTGCCAATGTTTGTCTATGGAGATTGCATGGCTGTGTGCTCGATTTTATACACCTGTCAGCAACGGGTGTGGCTGAAATAGCCGAATCCACCAATTTGAAGGGGCATCCACATACTTTTGTATATAAAGTGTAACCGCTGCAGTAGTTGTTTTCAAAGTATTTCTTTCTTAGCTGGTAAATGAAATCGCACAAAGTCAAAAGAACTACGAATCCTGTATAGCGCAGCAACACTGCTCTAATTTACTTGAAACTAAAGTCTACTCAAGTGAGACTTTGTCCTCGTGTTTCTTGGCTATTTACATTGTTTTGTTCACAAGCTAAGTTGTTTTTCAATGTTTGAGTTTCAACTGGTATGGAAGAGAAGACGACGCGGTAGAGAGCTGCGGGTCCGACAGATCATTGTGGCGCGGTTGGCATTTTTCATGGCTCTTTTTTGGTATTATTTATGAAAATCCACTACAAAGCTGTTTTCAGTGAGCGGGCAGTTATACAGACGACTTCGGGATAAAAATATTTTTTGGGTCCCGTCTTTCTGCTTTGTATGCGTTAGCCTACCTATTGTATTAAAAGCTCATCTTTGTCGCATTATTCGCTCAGAATTCGCTGCTTCAACTTCAGTAGCCTACCTCTCTCCTCTCCTAGTTGGGCGTGCGAGATCAAGTGTGCCTAGTACAGTTGAAGTTGGAAGTTTACATACACCTTAGCCAAATACATTTAAACTCATTTTTCACAATTCCTGACATTTAATCCTAGTAAATATTCCCTGTCTTAGTTAGGATCACCACTTTATTTTAAGAATGTGAAATGTCAGAATAATAGTAGAGAGAATGATTTCAGCGTTTATTTCTTTCATCACATTCCTAGTGGGTCAGAAGTTTACACACACTCAATTAGTATTTGGTAGCACTGCCTTTAAATTGTTTAACTTGGGTCAAACGTTTCGAGGAGCTTTCCACAAGCTTCCCACAATAAGTTGGGTGAATTTTTGCCCATTCCTCCTGACAGAGCTGGTGTAACGGAGTCAGGTTTTTAGGCCTCCTTGCTCGCACACGCTTTTTCAGTTCTGCCCACACATTTTCTATAGGATTGAGGTCAGGGCTTTGTGATGGCCACTCCAATACCTTGAGTTTGTTGTCCTTAAGCCATTTTGCCACAACTTTGGAAGTATGCTTGGGGTCATTGTCCATTTGGAAGACCCATTTGCGACCAAGCTTTAACTTCCTGACTGATGTCAGGAAGTACCCCCACAGCATGATGCTGCCACCCCCGTGCTTCACGGTTGGGATGGTGTTCTTCGACTTGCAAGCGGCCACCTTTTTCCTCCAAACAAAACAATGGTCATTATGGCCAAACAGTTCTATTTTTGTTTCATCAGACCAGAGGACATTTCTCCAAAAAGTACGATCTTTGTCCCCATGTGCAGTTGCAAACCGTAGTCTGGCTTTTTTATGGCGGTTTTAGAGCAGTGGCTTCTTCCTTGCTGAGCGGCCTTTCAGGTTATGTCGATATAGGACTCGTTTTACTGTGGATATAGATACTTTTGTACCTGTTTCCTCCAGCATCTTCACAAGGTCCTTTGCTGTTGTTCTGGGATTGATTTGCACTTTTCGCACCAAAGTACGTTAATCTCTAGGAGAGCACACATCTCCATCCTGAGCGGTATGATGGCTGCGTGGTCCCATGGTGTTTATACTTGCATACTATTGTTTGTACAGATGAACGTGGTACCTTCAGGCGTTTGGAAATTGCTCCCAAGGATGAACCAGACTTGTGGAGGTCTACAATTATTTTTCTGAGGTCTTGGCTGATTTCTTTTGATTTTCCCATGATGTCAAGCAAAGAGGCACTGAGTTTGAAGGTAGGCCTTGAAATACATCCACAGGTACACCTCCAATTGACTCAAATTATGTCAATTAGCCTATCAGAAGCTTCTAAAGTCATGACATCATTTTCTGGAATTTCCCAAGCTGTTTAAAGTCACAGTCAACTTAGTGTATGTAAACTTCTGACCCACTGGAATTGTGATACAGTGAATTATAAGTTAAATAATCTGTCTGTAAACAATTGTTGGAAAAATTAGTAGATGTCCTAACCGACTTGCCAAAACTATAGTTTGTTAACAAGAAATGTATGGAGTGGTTGAAAAACAAGTTTTAATGACTCCAACCTACGTGTATGTTAACTTCCGACTTCAACTGTATATGTGTGGTCTCATTGAAATAGAGGAGTTCATTTTCCAAGGAAATTAACTTAAATATGATTAGACTATAGTTTACTACAGTGTCTAAATACATATTGATAATGGAAAGTGGAGGGCGCTCAATCAACATAAATTGAGGTGCTATAAAATAAATGTGATCCTTGAAAAGGAAAAAAGGCGCAACACGCGCACAAGCTACCATGGTGAGCAAGCATTGCGCCCTTTCATTTTCAAGAAATATTGATTACTCATTTGTCTCTGCCTGCAAATCGTCCTCCTAAAAAAGGAGGGCTATATCCCATATGCAAAACGTAGCTCAAGAGAAAGTGCAAGTGTCCGCTGTCATCATTCTTGCTGCTTCAAGTTCAGTAGCCATATGTGAGAGATCAGGTGCGAGTGTGGTCTCAATTGAATAGAGTATATATATATATATATATATATATATATATATATATATATATAGCTATAGCCTATGCATGAGCGGAGAAGCTCGTTCCAAGGAAATGTACTTCCTAAATATGATTAGGATATAGTTTACGGCATTGCCTAGAAATATGTATTCAATCACCCGTATTTCATCAGTCTGAAAATCGTCCCACTTCTGAAAGGTAGGCTATAAAACGTAGCTCAAGAGAAAATGAATGTCTCTCCAACTCTGCTCTCTTCAAACGACGTCTAGCATATTGGCTGATATAGCCCAGGAATACCGATACCCTAATATAAAAAATGGGCCACATGATAATCTCTGGTAATTTAACCTATTTCTTAGGTTGTTTTTGCGCATTTTGATATTGCCTATAGGGCGAAAAATTGCTGGGACCATGGCTGGCAAATGAGCGCGTCACATACGCCTAAAATAACATTGCAGGACTGCGGTTGGGTTCGGGACCAGTTCTTCTGGTAGCAGGTGGGAGTCGGATAGAAAGCCAGGGGTTGCAGTATGAAAAGCGGGCGGGATGAACTACAAGACTACTAGTCAGACTCGCTTAATCTCACAGGCATAAACATGAGTCGCATTACCACGGTAACCTCCACCTCTTAAAGGGGTTTTTGTCTCATCTGTGATATTTTGGTTAAAAGACTCCGGTAATAAACAATGAAACGAAATTAAGCAATATACCACATTACTTCTTACTAGTAATACAGTTATTGTTTTAAAAAAATCAGAGTATCTGTTAGATTTTTAAAATCTACCTGCCACAGTGGCTGGTGGACCAAAAAGTTAGTTTCAGGCCCTGAACAGGTAGAGAGAAGAGGTACGTACTGGAGAGCTGACTGGACATCCCAGGGCTAGAGGTGATGGGCGGAGTTCTGGGGAGGAGGGGACGGGTGGAGGGAGAGAGACGGGGCTGGATTGGCCGGAAGGAGCCTGTTCCTGAAGGGGAGACAGTAAAAATAAAAAAAGTCAGTCATGTCCAAACTATGGAGCTGACTGGTTGAGCATTTCTAGCCCTGTTCAGATAGTTGGACAAAACATATTTGGGCCCGAACACAGAATATTACGGCTCCCCAGTGCTTTTTATTCCTGCAGAATAATTACAAACAAAAAAATGTCATTCCGATACTTCAAACATGCTACTTCCTTCCTTCCTTCCTGTGATTATATAAGTAAAAGCACGTTTTCTAATTAATTTCTAATTTTGTAACTAGGTGTATGGGTTATGTTGACAGGTGGCATACCTGTGGCAGATGAGTTGGAGAGGATGGAGAAGGAGCAGACGTGTTGAGGAGTGTCTCCAGTGGTGCGGGGAAGCAGTGTTCTCTGAGGAGGAACAAACAACAATTTCACATTAAAAACAATCTGTTCAGATTTCAAGATGTCCTAAGAATAACTGTCAATTCAACAGGTACACCAAACAAAGGACTAAGATTAAAAGACTTACCTGGACCACGAGGGGCTTTCGAAGTGGCCGGCTCCTGTTTTTCCTTTGTTTTGGCAGGAAAATGTCTGACTGCATCTGTAAGAGGCAGAGATACAAACTGGTGAGGGCCCAAAAAGGTTTTAAAAAATCTGAACTGCAAGAAAATGTGCCTTTTTCAGAATGAGGTTATCCCAACACCAACTTTTACTAACAATATGATACCAGGCCAAGTATCACGATACCGAGTAGAATCGTGATACCACGGGGTTTGCTCGGCACCAGGTAGCCCGTTCCCATTTTCTATACGTTCTGCACGGGTGCTGCACAAAAACTTGTCCCTGACATTCACACCTCTACTCAATACAACACATTGGATTAAACGTCACACTTATTACTGTATAATAGAAAAGGCTACTGCAGAAAATAGCTGATTTGCTCATATCCAAAGGCCTAGCTGTGATTGGGCAGGAGGAATGTAGTAAGGAATATACATGTATAATGATCTGCATTTTCATTGTGGCAGTAAGGGGTTAGGCTTACACTAGGGTTAGGCCATCTTTAGACAACTTTCCACACACAGCCTACACTCTCCCTCCCTCCCACACACCACCTCTCGCTCACTAACTCACTCTTTCTCCCTCCCACACACACACGGCTCCCAAAAGTTAGGCACCAAACAGAATTTAAGGAACACCAGAAAAAGATAGATTTTTGATTCAGATTTAGCTTAGAATGACATTGATTAGGCATATGCATCCTACCTTTGAAGCATCTCTTTAAGTAGGCTATCTATCCCTTTTTTCAATTTTTCCTGTGCCATCCAAATGTGTGCATAGCCAAGGCACCATGTTGTTTTCTAGCTAGCCAGGTAACATTACTAAACAAGGTAATTTGTTATCAAACCAAACACTTGCGGCCCACAAGTAATTTAAAATGGCCTTTCGACATGGTTTATAAAATTATGTATTCGCGGTAGAAAGGGGTTTGGGCTAGAAACTTCTGATTTTTACTTTTCTAAAGACACAAGCATGACTGTCACTGTACTCCGTTTTTCCTCAGAGACTGCGTGGCAGCAAAGTCAGACTGGCCTGCTTCTTCTTACAGGCAAAATAAAAAGATATGTATCCACATCGCTCATGCTGCGAGCTGCTCGAATAATTAAACAAATGCAACAGAAACCACATCACTGTTTGCAAACCCCAGCTCGCCATCACAGTAAATAACATTTGAAAACTGATGGAGATGCACAAAAATAATTGACTGAGAGAAGCAGTTGAGTAGGCTAATGGCTGGTTAGGGGATGTGGCTGGCTGCTCACAGCTGTCACACGTGACATTGGATGAACAGTGGGAGAATCTCAAACTCCTCGCGTCCTCTCTCCTTCTCAAAACCCATTGGATGAGAAAGCCAGAGGTCTCTCTTAGGGATGGGCGGTATACGGTATTTTACTATTTTCCGGTATTGATGCACGGACCGGTTTGGGTTTTTACTTTACCTTCTATAAGGGTATTTGAATGTTTGGTTTGTTAAATGTGATATGCCGTGTGTAACGTCCATTTTTAGAGTTTACACCGCTACTTCAGTCATCCCTCGCCGCGCTCTCTCCATGCCGCTTTCCACACAGAACTAGCCCTGCCCCCTGTCACTTAAGGAGCACATTTGTTGTTGCTTGACCACGAGACACCTGTGTTCAGTCTGCATGGTCAATGCAGCACATGCAACAATGTTGATTACGATGTTGTTTCCACTTTGCTTATTAATACAAATCCACAAGAGTCCTATAATTACAGTGCCTTCGGAAAGTATTCAGACCCCTTGACTTTTTCCACATTTTGTTACGTTACAGCCTTATTCTAAAATGGATGAAATTGTTTTTTTCCATCAATCTACACACAATACCCCATAATGACAAAGCAAAAGTATTCAGACCCTTTCCTCAGTACTTTGTTGAAGCACCTTTGGCAGCGATTACAGCCTTGAATCTTCTTGGGTATGATGCTACAAGCTTGGCACACCTGTATTGGGGAGTTTCTCCCATTCTTCTCTGCAGATCCTCTCAAGCTCTGTCAGGTTGAATGGAGAGCGTCGCTGCACAGCTATTTTCAGGTCTCTCCAGAGATGGTTGATTGGGTTCAAGTCCGGGCTCTGGCTGGGCCACCCAAGGACATTCAGAGACTTGTCCCGAAGCCACTCCTGCGTTGTCTTGGCTGTGTGCTTAGGATTGTTGTCCTGTTGGAAGGTGAACCTTCGTCTGAGGTCCTGAGCGCTCTGGAGCAGGTTTTCATCAAGGATCTCTCTGTACTTTGTTCTGTTCATATTTCCCTCGATCCTGACTAATCTCCAGTTCCTGCCGCTGAAAAACATCCCCACAGCATGATGCTGCCACCATCATGCTTCACCGTAAGGATGGTACTGGCCAGGTGATGAGCGGTGCCAGGTTTCTTCCAGACGTGACGCTTGGCATTCAGGCCAAAGTGTTCAATCTTGTTTCATCAAGCCAGAGAATCTTGTTTCTCATGGTCAGAGAGTCCTTTAGGTGCTTTTTGGCAAACTCCAAGCGAGCTGTCATGTGCCTTTTACTGAGGAGTGGCATCCGTCTGGCCACTCTACCATAAAGGCCTGATTGGTGGAGTTCTACAGAGATGGTTGTCCTTCTGGAAGGTTCTCCCATCTTCACAGAGGAACTCTGGAGCTCTGTCAGAGTGACCATCGGGTTCTTGGTCACCTCCCTGACCAAGGCCACTTCTTCCCCGATTGCTCAGTTTGGCCGGGCAGCCAGCTCTAGGAAGAGTCTTGGTGGTTCCAAACTTCTTCCATTTAAGAATGATGGAGGCCACTGTGTTCTTGGGGACCTTCAATGCTGCAGACATTTTTTGGTACCCTTCCCCAGATCTGTGCCTCGACACAATCCTGTCTCGGAGCTCTACGGACAATTCCTTCGACCTCATGGCTTGGTTTTTGCTCTGACATGCACTGTCAACTGTGGGAGCTTATATAGACAGGTGTGTGCCTTTCCATATCATGTCCAATCAATTGAATTTACCACAGGTGGACTCCAATCAAGTTGTAGAAACATCTCAAGGATGATCAATGGAAACAGGATGCACCGAGTCTCATAGCAAAGGGTCTGAATACTTATAAGGTATTTCTATTTTTTATTTCAAATAAATGTGCAAACATTTCCAAAAGCCTGTTTTTGCCTTGTCATTATGGAGTATTGTGTGTAGATTGATGAGGAAAAATAAATAATAATAATAATTTAATCCATTTTAGAATAAGGCTGTAACGTAACAAAATGTGGAAAAAGTGAAGGGGTCTGAATACTTTCCGAATGCACTGTATATCGAATATCACCGAAAAGTAACGAGTTTGCATCCCTGAAGAGGGATAAGGAAACCATTATTAGAAGGGATGGACAGAGATGGAGAGTCCAGCTAGTTTATTTTTCTGAGACAGACAAAATAAACCTTAGGATGGTGTACGTAAAAGGTCCTAGGAGGAGAGTGATATGAAAAGGGGGATGGCGAGAGAGAGAGAGTATGCAAAATGTCCTTACGCCGATGGAGTCGAGCTGTTGTCGGAAGGCGAGCTCGGCCTCCTTGTTGGGGGAGAACATGCGGGAGTGTCGGGAGCTGTTGGGGGGCAGGGTGGTGGGTATGGCAAACACCCCACCATCTGAGTCCCCCCCGGACACCAGCAGAGACCGCGGGAGGTTACGACCTGAGGAGGGGTTCAAAGCCAAGGTTACAGTTAATTAGTATTGTTGTACATGAGATGTTTTACAAAGATACAGGTAAAAGACAAACACTACTTCAAGTATTGATCCTCTGACCTACAACTTTGGAGTTACTGGAGAAGTTTCGATAAGTGTAGGTTGTGTGTGTGTTTGCATTTGCTTGTGAGAGGAGTTTGGTAAGCTACCGGAGGATCCGGTGTTTGGTAACATCAACTTTGCCGCTCGGACTCCCAGGGGCTGCAGTCGTCCATAGTTGGGGCTCCGTACCCCCACAGCCAGGGCCTTGCCTGGGGGGGTGAGGGACTGTTCCTCCTGGGATGGCTTTACCGGAGACGTGGCTGTGGAGCACAGCTCTGGGGCCTGGAGGAGAGAAAAGGAGAGGGGAGAGAGCATTAGAAGAAAACAAAATGACTTAAGGCTATAAAATTGCATAATGTGTTTACAAAGTCTCCTACAAAGTGTCTGCATTCCGATTCTCTACCCTTCTCCAGAAGTGTGCACTCGTTCCCTCCCCCTCATGCATTTAAAATGTTTGGTGTAAGCATGTCTAGAGGGAGTTTCCACCATAACCCTCACACCAGTCGATTACTTTTCAATCCATGAGGGAGAGTGCAGGAGTGCACACTTCGGGCGAAGTGTAGAGAATTTGAATGTGGCCAGTGGCTATTAAGAATTTGCCCCACTAGGCGGTGCTGACTCACAGGTTTGGGGTTGACCTCTGATGACACCAGTCGGAGCAGACAGCGCAGAACGCGGTGGGTGGATGGTGGGGGCAGGGGGCGTGGTGACTGTAGCCCCTCCTCCTCCAGCTCCGGGGCTGCAACAGCAGCCGGCTGCCACTCGTACTCCAGCTGCAGTTTCCCAGGTTTCCCCAGCATTAGGTACAGCTCTGCCAGAGTCACGTTGCTGTCTGTCCCCCGCGAGCTCCAGCCCTCCTCACAGATCCGCTGGGCCGACCGACCGCCGGACACCGGGGTTGGGGTCCTGCCTCCTCCTCCAACCCCACCGGACTCCTCCTTTCCTGTGGCTGCTGCCCTCCCCTGCACCTGGTCTGGAGGGACGTCCTCCACCTGTCGTGGTACCGTTGCCGGTGGAGGTGTGGTGGGAACCAGGGGGTCCAACAGGGGGAGGGAGTTCCTCTCTGGAGAGGCACTGTCACTACCGTTAACCCCTGGGGTCCGCTCTTCATCCCTGCACGGATCAGCAGCAGAGCAAGAACCGCCCCCCTGGCCCTGACAATTGGAGTCCCTTTCTCCTTCCTTGGACCCCAAGGCCTCCCCTACCCCTGGTCCTCCCCCCAGCCCCTTCTCCCCTTCCACCTGCCCCGCGGCTGCACCACCCTCCTGTTTCTGAGCTGTAGACAACAGCAGCGAAGACGAAGGAGGAGGAAGAGGAGGTGGAGATGTTATCTGGTTCGGATTCTTGTCCTCTGGCCCTGCTCCTCCTGACGTTCCTCCTTCAGGCGTAGATACGGGGGTCTCTCCCCCAACCCGTCGAGCGTCCCCACCACCACCGCCCCGTCCAGGTTTGGCCACACCCACCCGGGGGAGGAGCGGGGCCCCCTGGATGCCCAGAATCTGGGCAGTGGGGATCAGCTCCTTGGGGCCGGGCCGGGGCTTGCCACTCTCCTGCCAGTGGACGGTGCAGGAGGCCTTGGAGTGGACCACACGGGCTACGCTGGGCAGGGCGGTCAGGGTGCTGGTCTCAGCTGGGTACAGGAACAGGTCCTCCTTGTCTGCTCTGCAGGGGAGAGCAGGGCTGCCGCTACCACTGTGCTGCTGGGTTCCCTCTAACGCCTCGCGTTCCTGCAGGCTCTTCAGCTGAACACAGTACGGTCAAGGAGGGTCAGCAGAGATGGGGTAGATTCAAAGTCAAACAAAAACAAGACCAGATCCAGGAATTGATGATCAACTAGGCTAAATATTATCTGTTGATCTCTTGAAGTACTATAGATCAGCTCATTTTAGACTTTTTACCAGCTGGTTGTCTGGTGCTAATTTCATGCGATTCTATACTTGACCAGATCAAGTTTTTTTTTTTTGCAGCTAGGTTGCGGTCTAAGTGCTATAAGATGGACATGACGTGACTGTTGTGATGTGGAAGGATACGATGCGCAGGTCCTGGACGGCCCACTTCTGTTTCAGGAACTCAATCAGGCTGGACACCTTCCTATGCAGCTCCACCACCATCCTACATCACCACACAGAAGAACGGACAATGTTAGAAAATATTGAATTTCTCAGCAAAGACAGCTCCTGTACGCAACACACAGCTCAAACACTGACGGGCATGTTCAGCAGGATACAACCTAGCAAAACTCATCTTGAAACCAAAATATGATAATGACAATATGCCTCATGTAATGGCCGCTATGTATGGGGATCCAAACAGTCAGGGTTGTGTTTCCCAGAAGCATAAAGATTATGGTGATGTCCATCTTACGTTCAAACACGCCTAATGTTCAACTTGAAAAAAAATTGATATATTATTTATTCAGGGAAAACCCATTGAGACCAACAATCAAATACAATGTGAAACAAAACAGCAATCAATACAAAGTAAAATAAAAATACAGCACAACATTTAGCACAGTTACGGTGATCGTATTACCGCCAAACCGGCTGTCACGAGTCATGACCGCAGTCAAATTCCACGTGATCGTTTAGTCACGGTAATTAGGCTTCTCCAAGCTCTGATGCTGTTAAAATTAAAAAGAGGAGGATCCCATCAGCTTTCTATAGGCTAGGCCTACTATATTTATTCATGAATTTTCCTAATATTAAGCACATTGTTTCTCTTTACAACCGGAGTATAGCCTACCTGGCTGGCATGAAAATGAACGACGGGAAAAGCGTCCTCCATTCACTATTTAAGTGCATATACATATATTTTTCCCCCTGCCCCTGTTGTTTCCAGACGGGTGCATGATAACGGTCCATTCTAAATCAAAACAAATTTCACACATATATGATTTAGTATATGTAAAGATTAAATTAAGAATAGGCTAATATTGTCACCCATCAGACTATCACTTGTGAATGATATACAGCTGAAGTCGGAAGTTTCCATACACTTAGGCTGGAGTCATTAAAACTCGTTTTTCAGCCACTCCACAAATTTCTTGTTAACAAACTATAGTTTTGGCAAGTCGGTTAGGACATCTACTTTGTGCATGACACAAGTCATTTTTCCAACAATTGTTTACAGAGATTATTTCACTTATAATTCACTGTATCACAATTCCAGTGGGTCAGAAGTTGTAGAGGTCTGTAATTTTTATCATAGGTACACTTCAACTGTGAGAGACGGAATCTAAAACAAAAATCCAGAAAATCACATTGTATGATTTTTAAGTAATTAATTTGCATATTATTGCATGACATAAGTATTTGATCACCTACCAACCAGTAAGAATTCCGGCTCTCACAGACCTGTTAGTTTTTCTTTAAGAAGCCCTCCTGTTCTCCACTCATTACCTGTATTAACTGCACCTGTTTGAACTCGTTACCTGTATAAAAGACACCTGTCCACACACTCAATCAAACAGACTCCAACCTCTCCACAATGGCCAAGACCAGAGAGCTGTGTAAGGACATCAGGGATACAATTGTAGACCCGCTCAAGGCTGGGATGGGCTACAGGACAATAGGCAAGCAGCTTGGTGAGAAGGCAACAACTGTTGGCGCAATTATTAGAAAATGGAAGAAGTTCAAGATGACGGTCAATCACCCTCGGTCTGGGGCTCCATGCAAGATCTCACCTCGTGGGGCATCAATGATCATGAGGAAGGTGAGGGATCAGCCCAGAACTACACGGCAGGACCTGGTCAATGACCTGAAGAGAGCTGGGACCACAGTCTCAAAGAAAACCATTAGTAACACACTACGCCGTCATGGATTAAAATCCTGCAGCGCACGCAAGGTCCCCCTGCTCAAGCCAGCGCATGTCCAGGCCCGTCTGAAGTTTGCCAATGACCATCTGGATGATCCAGAGGAGGAATGGGAGAAGGTAATGTGGTCTGATGAGACAAAAATAGAGCTTTTTGGTCTAAACTCCACTCGCCGTGTTTGGAGGAAGTAGGATGAGTACAACCCCAAGAACACCATCCCAACCGTGAAGCATGGAGGTGGAAAAATCATTATTTTGGGATGCTTTTCTGCAAAGGGGACAGGACGACTGCACCGTATTGATGGGAGGATGGAAGGGGCCATGTATCGCGAGATCTTGGCCAACAACCTCCTTCCCTCAGTAAGCGCATTGAAGATGGGTCGTGGCTGGGTCTTCCAGCATGACAACAACCCAAAACACACAGCCAGGGCAACTAAGGAGTGGCTCCGTAAGAAGCATCTCAAGGTCCTGGAGTGGCCTAGCCAGTCTCCAGACCTGAACCCAATAGAAAATCTTTGGAGGGAGCTGAAAGTCCGTATTGCCCAGCGACAGCCCCGAAACCTGAAGGATCTGGAGAAGGTCTGTATGGAGGAGTGGGCCAAAATCCCTGCTGCAGTGTGTGCAAACCTGGTCAAGACCTACATGAAACGTATGATCTCTGTAATTGCAAACAAAGGTTTCTGTACCAAATATTAAGTTCTGCTTTTCTGATGTATCAAATACTTATGTCATGCAATAAAATGCAAATTCATTACTTAATAATCATACAATGTGATATTCTGGATTTTTCAGAGCCTAACATAAGAACAACTCAGAGTATGTTATTCTGTTCTTCTAAAATATAATACATTTTCTTCATATCATGTTTCTTTAGACCTGTCAAAATTAAATAATTGATTTATTGTGATGATGTAGGCTATATTAAATGGATTTATTAGACTTTTTAAAATGTAGATGTTCCAAAGGTCTGCATCAGTGGCTTGTAGGCTATGTGTGGAAGCCAGGAGATGCTAAATGTGTTTGTTAATTAACGGTCAATTACCATGAGACCTGCAGTTATTTGGCAATCACCGGCTGATAAAATTGTATGACCGCCACAGCCCAAGTTACATTCCTCAGCTACAAGGTCCTCAATTAACACTTGAAATTGCCTGAGCGGCACCAGAACATCCAATTGTAATGAGTTTTGTAAATTCTTCCAGCAGTGAGGTTCATTAAAACTAAAAGCGGATTTACTAAATTTGATGGAGACCCGAGGAACCTCAAGAACGGGTTTGGTAACACGTTTTTATACTTCATCAACAAAGTTAGGTAAGTCGGAAGCTTGTAGTAGAGCTTCGTAAACAAAAAGGGAATAGTGAAATGATCTACAGGACTTTCATGAGGACCAGACAACCTTTTGATACAGGATGCAGTGATGAGTATTAAAACTGTCACCTGTGATAAAGTGAAGGGCGCTATGTTAATACTGCATCCAATGGTTTAAGAGTAGTGGTTGCTGCATTCTGGTAAATGGTGTCAACATAGTCAAGAACTGGCAGGAAAGTTGACTGTACAATCTGCTTCTTGCTGTTTAGGGAGAGGCAACATCTATAGTATTTCAAAAAATTTGCTTTTTAACTAGCTCATCCGTTTGTTTTTTAAACATTAAATGTTTGTCAATCCAAATGCCCAGACATTTATAGGGGGGAACCCGATCGATGGGACAAACACTCAATGAATAAATATGTAGTCCATCAAACAGTCCCAATACTGACCCTGCGGTACACCTTTCGTAATATCCAGGAAGCTACACTTACCACCATCAGAAATCACACAGTGTCCTGTCTGACAAAATTCTAAAACTACTTGCAAGAAGCCTGATTCAGGCCTATTTGGAATGAGAATGTGATTGTCAGCAGTGTCGAAGGCTTTGGAAAGGACTTTATAGTCAGTTGACACTGACCTGAGGCGGGGATTATGGGCCAGACTCTGGACACGGGCCCAGGAGTGATTGCTACGCGGCTGCAGCTCCACGGCAACCTTCAGAGGTAGACGCACAGGCTTCTGGTCCTCTTCATCACTCACTCCTAGAGAGAGTGAGAGGGAGGGAGGTGTAAAAGGAAAGAGGGATAAGATTTGTTCTCTCCGGTCCTGAGATGATCAGCATCACCACCACTTACTCATACCACCCCCTTCCTGAGTATTGCCATGGAAATCCATCCCCTTCTGCCCACATGCATGACTCAACATCCCCATTCATACTCTTCCTCCCTCTTCCTGCTGTGTGAGTGTCTGTCACTGTGTGTCTGTGCCTGTGAGTGCGTGGGTTTGTGTGTACACTCACCATCTGGGTCACACAGCCTCTTGAGCGCACGGCACATGGGAGCTTTGATGCGCAGGTTCCTGCCTTTAGAACGCACCGTGGTGGCCCTGGAGAATACAGCAGAGCCATGAGAGAACCGCAAAACACACAAACTACACCCAAACAACAATTGCACAATTTGCACAATTTCAACTACACTGAACAAAAATATAAACTCAACATGTAAAGTGTTGATCCCATGTTTCATAAACTGCAATAAAAAAAATCCCAGAAATGTTCCATATGCGAGCTTATTTTTCTCAAATCTTGTGAGCATTTCTACCTTGCCAAGATAATCCATCCACCTGACAGGTGTGGAATATCAAGAAGCTGATTAAACAGCATGATCATTACACAGGTGCACCTTGTGCTGGGAATAATAAAAAGCCACAGTTGTCACACAACAAAATGCTACAGATGTCTCAAGTTTTGAGGGAGGGTGCAATTGGCATGCTGACTTCAGGAATGTCCACCAGAGCTGTTGCCAGAAACTTGAATGTTCATTTCTTTACCATATGCTGCCTCCAATGTCATTTTAGAGAATTTGACAGTAAGGAAATCAGTCAATTGAAATAAATGAATTAGGCCCTAATCTATGGATTTCACATGACTGGGCATGGACACAGCCATTGGTGGGAGGCCCACCCAATCAGAATTAGTTTTTCCCTCACAAAAGGGATTTATTACAGACAGAAATAATCCTCAGTTTCATCAACTGTCCGGTTGGCTGGTCTCAGACGATCACGCAGGTGAAGAAGCAGGATGTGGAGGTTTTGAGACCGGTTGGATGTACTGCCAAATTCTCTAAAACAAAGTTGGATGTGGCTTATGGTAGAGAAATGAACATTCAATTATCTGCCAACAGCTCTGGTGGATATTCCTGCAGTTAGCATGCCAATTGCACACTCCCTCAAAATTTTAGACATCTGTGGCATTGTGTTGTGTGACAAATCTGCACATTTTAGTGGCCTTTTATAGACCCCAGCACAAGGTGCACCTGTGTAATGATCATGCCGTTTAATCAGCTTCTTTATATGCCACACCTGTCAGGTGGATGGATTATCTTGGCAAAGGAGAAATGCTCACTAACAGGGATGTAAACAAATTTGTGCAAAATAATTGAGATAAATAAGCTTTATTTGCATATGGAAAATTTCTGGGATCTTTTATTTCAGCTCATGAACCATGGGACCAACACTTTCCATGTCGCATTTATATTATTGTTCAGTATATATCCACACCGGCCAGTTTATGAGGTACACCACCCTTTTCACGAAAATGCCTCACTCCTACGTGGCCGTGGCTTGCTATATAAAGCAGGCAGACAGGCATCCAGTTACTGTTTGACTGAACATTAGAATGGGCAAAACAAGTGACATAAGCAACTTGAAGCATGGTATGATCATCTGTGCCAGGCACCCCGTATCGAGTATCTCATAAACGGCGGCCCTCCTGGGCTTTTCATGCACAACAGTGTCTTGGATTTCCTGAGAATGGTGCGACAAAAAACATTGTCAGCCGCAGTCCTGTGGGCAAAAACAGCTCGTTGATGAGAGGTCGAAGGAGAATGGCAAGAATCATACAAGCTAACAGGCGGGCCACAAACAGACAAATAATGGCGCAATACAACAGTGGTGTGCAGAACGGCATCTCGGAACGCACAACACGTCGATCCTTGTCACGGATGGGCTATTGCAGCAGATGACCACACCTGGTTCCACACTTATCAGCTAAAAACAAGAAGAAGGGGCTCCAGTGGGCACGCGATCACCAACACTGGACAACTGAGGAGTGGAAAAACATTGCCTGGTCCGACGAATCCCGGTTCTAGTTGCGTCATGCGGATGGCACAGTAAGGATGGACCCATCCTGCCTGGTGTCAACGGTACAGGTTGGTGGTGGCGGCGTACTGCCATCCAATCTGCGGCAACTGCGTGATGTCAGTATGGACGTTTCCGACTTGTAGAATCCATGCCCCGAATAATTCAGGCTGTTCTAGAGGCAAAGGGGGTACCGACCAGGTACTAGATGGGTGTACATAATCAAAACTGGCCGGTTAGGGTATATAACGGTTTATTTCAAATGTATAAACGAATCAACTACTTATAACCCTAAAGTCTTGGAGAAAAGAGGTGATATATTTTTAAAAGCTGTGGTTACATTGGTATAATTTTTGGTCTCAGTCTTACCCCTGTTGGATGAGCTCGTTAAGCTTGGCCACGTTCTTATCGTCCATCACTATGAACAACAACAGAGTTAGAAAAGATAGAGTGCGTACCTCCTTGCTCTTGCTTTGTGAAGACAACACAGAAATTAACATAACATCTGCAATGACCTGCAACAGAGGTAGAAAAGCTTGCCATCTTTGGGAAACAAGACTAACACAGACATAGGACATTAATAACATATCATCCCTCATGACCTGCGCCACACTTTTAACCATCCCCAATGACCATGGCCGGGCCCAGCCCAACACTTAATCAGCTCCCTCGCAGCCAACCAGCCCCAGCAGCAGAAACAGAGCCAGACTGAGGCTGGTGTGTCACAAACACACCATCCAAGACACAGACAGATACAGGCGTCCCCCCCCCCCCACCACACACACACACACACCCTGCTTGACTTACATCCTCCAACCTTCTTCCGGAGCTCGGCGTAGCAGATGAGACCGTACAGCTCCTGAGAGGACTTCTTCAGCACACGGGAGTACACTGTGGGACAGGAGGAACTGGGCATGTTAGGGGATAAAAATGAGAAGAAAAAAACTACAGCACACCAGTGATCTTGGGTGCTCCACAAACAATGTAAATGGGTCTCACACTGATGGTAAGCTCAAAAGACAGAGTTTAACTCGAACATTTAATGAGTCGCTTGCAGGTGTGTGTGTGTGTGTGTGTGTATCACAAACATAATAGGATTCAAAAGAAGAAATTACTGCAGATTGCCTGCAACCTATATGCAAAGTTTCACTTGCAAATGCCAACTGGTCTTCATAAAAAGCTGGTTGCTTGCGGTTTCACACCGATTTTGAAGGTCAACGTTTTTTAGTCAACAAACCAAAACACAGGCATAATAAAGAGAAAGTGAGACTGTGCAAACAAGCAAGAGGTGAGTGGAGATTTCTATTGAAGAAATAACGAGAGAGAAGAGAGCGAGACAGAGAGAGACAGATAAAGCTAGCTTACCGTTAGCGAAGTCGATGTGCTTGGATATCTTGTGCCAGGTGCGGTAGTAGAAGTGTCGGACTTGCTCCTTGTTCTTCACCATGCTGGCTGGCTTCCCCTTCTTCTTATGTTTCAACGCTATGTTTGTCTGGATCGCCTCAAAGTCCTTCCCATGCTACAGAGAGCGAGAGAGAGAGACACCACTAGAGATATGGAAGTTGTGTTGGAGTAGTGGGCACTCTTCCCTCTGGTCTATGGAGATCCCAGGACATTGCCCTGCATAGGGTGCCGTCTCTGTGGTCATAGAAAATCCCATGCCACTTTTTGTAAGAGTGTTAACCCTGGTGTCCTGGGAAAATTCCCAACCTGGCCCCTTTCAATCATGGCCACCTAATCATCCCATTGATTCCCAATTGGCATACATCACTCCTCACCTCTCCACCATAATGGCTGATGTTTGGTGAATGTTCTGGCACAAAATGGTTGCAGTGCTAAATATTGGTGGTGGAAGAGGTGAGTTTCCCCCCCTTACTGCACTGAGCACCTACTGTAGGTGGAAAGGCACTATATAAATGCAATCAATTATTATAAGGGCCTGTGAAGAAAGAGTCCACTTTAAATCTTCGACATACTTCTGACTTATTAATATGGCTTGCGACAGCAGCCACACTTTAGATATTGTTTATCATTTCTGACTTGTCATATGAAATGTGTGATATAAATAACAAATACAAAAATTGTACTGCATCTTCGAATATGGACTTGAAACATCTTTGAGTCCATGAAAAGTGCTATATACAAATCGGTGTATTATTTTTATTATGAAGTTGCTCATAATAAAAAATGCTAATTGGAAAGAAAACATTAGCTGTATTTTTCAGACATTGTCTTCAGCGGTTTGAAAGAAAGCAGTCTAATATCCCGGAAAAACTCCCTTACCCAGGGTGAAAACACTGGTGAAAGGACCCCTAGCTAGCTCTAGAGGGGGCTTCCAGTTGGGAAGATGTAATAAGATGCACAGGCGGTCTCCTCCGACATTGCTATAAATTAGCTTCCACTGCGCATATATTTATATTTCATACTACTCAAAAAGTTTACTTACCTCGTAGAGCCCTTCGAAGAAGCTGTTCTTGTCCTCTGCACTCCAGGACTCCCACTGCCTCCGGGGTCTCTTCTGACTGCCCACCGGCTCCTCCTTGTCTCCGGGCCCTTGGCCTCTAGGGGCCGCCTTGCCTGAGGGCCCCGTAGAGCCTGACGTGGAGCCGGACTGACCAGCCGACACCTGGTGAGAGGGACCATTCTCTGAGCCTGTGTGAGAGGGGGAGAAAGGATGAGGAAACGTACACTGAAGAAAAACAAACGCAACATCAAATCAACTTTTATTTGTCACATGCGCTGAATACAACAGGTGTAGACTTTACCGTGAAATGCTTACTTACAAGCCCTTAACCAACAGTGCAATTAAGAAAAATAAGAGTCAAGAAATAATTTACTAAATAAAGCAACAATTAAATAATAACATGCAACAATTTCAAAGATTTGACTGAGTCACAGTTCATATAAGGAAATCAGTCAATTGAAAAAAAATAATTAGGCTCTAATCTATGGATTTACATTTTACATTTACATTTTAGTCATTTAGCAGACGCTCTTATCCAGAGCGACTTACAGTTAGTGAGTGCATACATATTTCATACTGGCCCCCCTGTGGGAATCGAACCCACAACCCTGGCGTTGCAAGCGCCAATTAATAGCCATAGCAGAACCACAGCTGCCTTTAGGATGAGACTTCTACTGGGGCAGAAGAGAGAAACTTTGGAGGACCCTGGAGTAGACTGCAAAGCCTGGTATGACAGAGATAGTTTTCAATGCTCGGAGAACTCTGAATGTTCTCAGCGCAGAGACATTGCCCAGGTCCACAAACTCTGTTATATATCTGGAATTACAGAAATAGTTTTCAATGCCCTCAACACTCTGAATGTGCGCAGAGCTGAGACATTGCCTAGGTTTACAAACTCTGTTATATACGCCATAGAAATGACCATGAAATCCAGCCAGTTCCAGGGATCCCTTAGGAATGTAAACCCATCTATACAGAATCCTCGAGCGACGATTTTTACAAGACATTCAAACGTATAAATCCCTGTGAATGTGTACTCTACTTGCTTGGACCACTCCGGAGGATCACTAAAAGTCATGAATATACAGTTGGTCAAAATAGTACACATAATGATCATGCTGAAAAGAGAATGTATCAAAATTTTTATAGCTATTCGCCTGAAAATATTAAAAGGACTTATGATGTACAAGGCAGGGTTGGCACTAAAGCGGAAGATTGTCTTCCCTCTATTTAGCACTATGAATGTCTCCTGTGTGTGCACGCGCGTGCACCAAAATAAATGTGTCGGCAGCAGAGCGGCCCAGTACGTTCTGCCGCCCTAGGCAAGACAACACATGACTGGGAATACAGATATGCGTCTGTTGGTCACGAATACCTTTCTTTTCTTTTCTTTTTTAAAGGGGGTGGATCAGAAAACCAGTCAGTATCTGGTGTGGCCTCATGCAGCGCGACATCTCCTTCGCATAGAGTTGATCAGGCTCTTGATTGTGGCCTGTGGAATGTTGTCCCACTCCTCTTCAATGGCTGAGCGAAGTTGCTGGATATTGGCGGGAACTGGAACACGCTGTCGTACACGTCGATCCCGAGCATGCCAAACATGCTCAACGGGTGACATGTCTGGTGAGTATGTAGGCCATGGAAGAACTGGGACATTTTTAGCTTCCAGGAATTGTGTACAGATCCTTGCGACATGGGGCCGTGCATTCTCATGCTGAAACATTAGGTGATGGCAGCAGATGAATGGCACGACAATGGTCCTCAGGATCTCGTCACGATATCTCTGTGCATTCAAATTGCCATTGATAAAATGAAATTGTGTTCGTTGTCCGTACCTTATGCCTGCCTATATCATAACCCCACCGCCACCACAGGGCACACTGTTCACAACGTTGACATCAGCAAACTGCTCGCCCACACGACACCATACACGCCGTCTGCCTGGTACAGTTGAAACAAGGATTTATCTGTGAAGAGCACACTTCTCCAGCGTGCCAGTCGCCATCGAAGGTGAGCATTTGCCCACTGAAGTCAGGTACGACGCCTATCTTCAGTCAGGTCAAGACCCTGGTGAGGACGACGAGCACGCAAGATAAGCTTCCCTGAGATGGTTTGTTACAGTTTGTGCATAAAATCTTCAGCTGTGCAAACCCACAGTTTCATCAGCTGTCCGGGTGGCCTTTTATTATCCTCAGCACAAGGTGCACCTGTGTAATGATCATGCTGTTTAATCAGCTTCCTGATATGCCACACCTGTCAGGTGGATGGATTATATTGGCAAAGTAGAAATGCTCAGTAACAGGGATGTAAACAACTTTGTGCACAACATTTCAGAGAAAAAAAACTGCGTTTGGAAAATTTCTGGGATTTTATTTCAGCTCATGGGACCAACACCTTACATGTTGCATTTATATTTTTGTTCAGTGTATATGAGAGTGTTTTGTGGGAGACAGTGAGTGAGTGATAGAGTGTACATGCGAGAGTGAGTTGTGTGAGAGAATGAGTGAGAAAGTAGCACAGTGAGCAAGAGAAAAGCAAGTGTCACAACTTAAATATCATACCAAAAGCTCACGTTGAGAAGAGGGTAGAAGAAGCAGAAGGCGGGGGGGTTACTTTGCACTATCCTTAAGTAACGTGTCTCTACGCAACAGAGAGGAGATACAGAGACCAATAGCTTTTCAAAAACAACTGGTTATAATGCCAGTTTTAGCACAAACAGTCTGAGGCCAGTGTCACATGCAACATCACCGTCCTCCAAAATACAACACACACTACAGAGACCCTCCCCTCCTGTGGCTGAAGTGCTGGCGAAGTGAGGCAGCAGGAAAGGAAGTCGTCGGTTCCGTTTGCCGGGGCTGCAATGAGGACCGGAGCGAAGTTCCAAAAACAACACGCGAGGCTGGCTTGGAGCAACAATGGACGCCACCTCACAATGTGCAGGTCAGGAGAGACAGACACACAACCCAATCCTCAACAACAGAGTGAGCACTGCTTCTAAAAATATTATGTTGAGTCATAATTATTTTATGTTGAGTATTCTTCCATTACCGCAAAATGTGCATTTAATAAAATATGAATACCGGTATAGTAATTGTAATAATGGTACAATAATGTAATATATCTAAAAAGAAACTTGCATGATGCAAAGTCTCCGTTTTGTATAGATACGACCAGCATAGACGCAATATCGTGCATTCAAAACACTGACCATATTCAACCATCATTAATGGATTGACAAAAGTAGCTAGGTCCACTACCAGCGGAGAGTAAAGGGATGGGGTACTCCTTTAACACAGATAAACAGGTAACCCCAGGCACAAACACTTTCACGGCATACCTTTCGATTTCGCCCCGCCGTGACCATTGATAGTTGGGGAGATGGAATCCTTCCGGATTCGTTTGCTTGGGGGTCGAACGCTGGATCTCAGAAAATGATGCTGGTCGTGACTCGGTGCGGTGGGTGCTGTCGAGGATGGGGGCTGTTGGCTCGAACAAGGTCCAGACGGGTTCGATACGGATGTGAGAATTACTGGTGCTGAACTGGAGCAGCCCGTAGTTGATGGATTAAGAATTTCCACTCCGTCTCTCTTTGTACTACGCTTCTCGCTCCCCTGATCTCCGCTCTCCTCCTCGTCACAACCTTCAAGCTTTCTGCCCGAATTATTCGGGCCATCGACACCGATGCCGTCTCTCAGCCCAACTGTCATCCTGGCGAAACACAATCAATACAAATGTTTAACAATTAAATGACATCACAACGCAAATCAACTTAAAAAAGACGACGTTCTGTTTCTCTCAATATGGCCGCCGCTGTTTGTTTCAAATCCCCTCTCACCGTCCCATCGAAACACGAAAATTCTATCTATATATGTTTTCATTAACATTTTGAAAGCCAAAATATTACTATACCTTGCTCGTGTGTTTTTGTTAGTTATCTTAAACTTCTAACAGTTTATATTGTTTTATTTTTATCCGAAATTCAAAAACGAGCGCCCCTGAGTTTAGCGCCCGCTGAAACGACAACGTAAAACCTTTCGATACATTCGACCTCTATTTAAAGTGCTTCTTTATCAGACAAGGTTACCCATTTTCATGCTCTTCGACAGCAGATGATGTCTTCTTTCTTTTCACCATCGACCCGACGGTTTTGGTAAGCAACAGTATATAAAATTGGGCATATTCAAACCATGAACAGGGTCTATCCACGACTGTCTTCACCTCGCTCCAGCTTCGACTGAATTGAACTCTCTGCGCAGCTCAAATGTTCACTATCTGAGTCCCACAATAACTCTCAATAATTTATTGGCTTAAAGAAGGTTAATATTATCGGTATAGGCTGAAATATTTGACCAAACACATAACTATATAGTATGCTTTAAACGCTCAAAATAATCTGAATAATAAACTAGCTGGTTTTAGTTTTTACTACAGCCACAAGAGCACAGCTCGCAGTCTCGACTTTGCTTATCACTACGTCATCATCGCCAGAATTGTTGTTTTCATCATTAAGTTGTTTGACGACATGATGTTAACAAACAACATCAAAAAGTTGCTTCTGATATTAACTCTCAGTTTCAGAAAGCAACAACGGATACCTTATACATCATATTAAAATATACTTGATGGAGAAACTAACCACAAGCGCTCGAATCAATAAAAACAATAGAATGAGTGTTCAACTACATGAATATCTAATCCATATACACATTGATCAGACACTGCATCAGATACTCTATACTTTGCAAGTAACAGATTACTTCTAACATAATGACACAGGTGTTTCATCCTTTTTTTGCTTCACCCATCTCCAAATATTTTGAGGGCAGAAACATTACTATAGCTACAACTTTAAACAAGTGGCACGTCTCACACATACAATAACAAGAACCCCTAATTCATTCCCATGCAGGGAAAGAAGTCACAAACAACAATGTCGTATTACGTGTAACATGTATGTGTTCTCTAATCATGATTGTCCAACCTAATGACAGCAATCTCTTTTCAAACTCAAACAAATTTAAAATATATTATATTTTCCTGCAGAAGTATAGCAGTAGCTAATTGATTGATCTATTGTTTGTTTGACTGATTGCTTTATTCTGTGGTTGCTATCCTCACCTGATAGATCAGTAGACAGAATCAGCTGTTATCTTTCCTCTTGTAACCAGTGTCATTTCTATAGGTACATCTTAGGAGGAGCGGGTTACACACTCCAAAAAGCAGCTGCACGGGTGCTAGCTACTAACGTTAGCTAACTTTGCTTTGGACATGTTTGCTAGCAATGTGCGGCCAAAACCCAGTCAACTAACGTTACTAGCTAGCAAACGAATAGTCTCAAGCACAAATTCACACGACATTTTGCACATCATTGCATTCAGTTGTAGTGAGATATAGAGTTTAAGCAATTCATAAATTACCTTGTCTTGACTTTAGTGTTCACGCCTGGATGAGAAAACGTTGCAAGCTAAGCTAACTCCGAATGACAGTCCCTCTCTTGCACAAGCACGCCCACTCCAACTCAAAAACAAATCTCGTGATTGGTTAGTTGAGGGAAAGACATATGATTGACATCGAAGAGCTCCTATTGTTGATGAGAAAGAGAATGCTAATGAACCAATTGAATATCTCAATCTATATACGTCATTGAGTGCGCAGGGAGTTATTTTACATTGGCCCGGGTTGAACCGGGCCAAAACCTGTCACGTCATCGGGCGAAATCGAAGAGGGAGGAGTGCCCTTCTCAAATCGAACAGTAAACTGCGCCACTCAGTCATTTTGACAAAGGCAGCATGGTGCATCATCGAAACATAAAATAAAAAAATTCATAAAATAAATGTTTGAAATTTCTAGCTAGTTCTCATTGGGAAGGCAGATTAAATGTTTTTATCAAAAGCAATCACTGTTGCATGGGAAACCACAGAATCCGTGGTTGCCATGGAGCTGTGAGGTCTCCTATACAGAAATCTCTAAATATTGTACATATTTTAATAGTTTTAAGGTGTTTTTTGACAGAATCTTTTTAAATCAACTTTTTATTTTGTTAGCTAATTACGTTTTGATTGTATATATATTGATCCACAGCAGTGAAAGACTGTCAATGCCGCAGCCCGTCTGGTGTTCAACCTTCCCATGTTCTCTCACGTCACCCCGCTCCTCCGCACACTCCACTGGCTTCCAGTTGGAGCTCGCATCTGCTACAAGACCATGGTGCTTGCCTATGGAGCTGTGAGGGGAACGGCACCTCCGTACCTTCAGGCTCTGATCAGTCCCTACACCCAAACGAGGGCACTGCGTTCATCCACCTCTGGCCTGCTGGCTCCCCTACCTCTGCGGAAGCATAGTTCCCGCTCAGCCCAGTCAAAACTGTTCGCTGCTCTGGCACCCCAATGGTGGAACAAGCTCCCTCACGACGCCAGGACAGCGGAGTCACTCACCACCTTCCGGAGACATTTGAAACCCCACCTCTTTAAGGAATACCTGGGACCGAGATGGCAGAGGCCTGGAGACTGTTGAATATGGCAGAGGATCATTAAAGTCTCCCCCCTGGGTCTGACCATCGTTTCCCCCCTGCTCAACCCTTCATCTGGGCCTCAGTCAGAAGAGATGTGGACCCAGTGGGGGAGGAAGGTGCGCATGGAGAGTGGATTGGACACAGGATGTGACCTGTTGGACTTCCACCTGCCTCTGCTCTGTGGATGACCGTGAAAGATCTTCCAGACAGAAATGTCAATGGGCTAACTGAAATGTATTGTTTTGTTGTTTTAAGAGCTACTTTGAGATTCTTGCTGTAATTAAAAACGCTATACAAATTACTACACATGCTTAATTACGTCACTTTTGTTTTAAGCCAACTTCGCCGTTGCTGGACAGAGCCCGGAACCTGCTGGCTCAAGCCCGCGAGGCAGCCTGGTTCCAAATCGAATGCAATCAACTTTTAGCCAGTGCATAACACGCCTACACGGGCGCCCGGGTGATATTAATCGAACCCCTTCATCTGCAAGGTGGGGTATAGAAATGGGGCATATAAATATAATCTAGTCTAGATAGATAGATTTCTATGGTATGTTCCCCGCCTAGAACCAACATCACACGCACCACCAATTGACTATCAATTCAATTCAAGGGGCTTTATTGGCATGATAAACATACATTGCCAAAGCAAGTGAAATTGATAATAAACCAAAGTGAAATAAACAAAAAAAATTAACAGTAAACATTACACTCACAAAAGTTTCCACTATTTTAACTTATTTCACTACCATTAAATACTGCTACATACCTGGAACCATTTTAATGTTTGTTCGTTTTCCAGTTATGGAAATGCCGCTCAAAGCCCGGGCCATTCCAGGCGAGTAAACCATGTGCACCCAATATGACAGACAGGTGGAAAGCCAAATGACAATGGAAATAGGGCGTTATCCTTAGTAATTTAACCAATGAAATTAGTCACACCTTTCGACTGATAACGCTTTTGATCATTGAGGCTCTTCCCATGTCACTGCTAGGCAAAAGTGTTTCCAGCTGAGTGACGGAACAGATCAGAGGACTTGCGGAGCCTCGTAAATGGCGTCCCTTGAGAAAGCAAGAAACAGATATATGTCAGGAGAAGTGCAGTATTATCATAAGGAGACGTATACTTGGATGACGGAGGAGGAATGGAGGGAAAAAGAGAGGCAGAGGAGGTCTAAGAGAGAGAGAGGGAGGAAGACTGAGCTTGAGTCAGTAAAAAATGGCGGAAAAAAGGGAGAAGGTTTGTGAAAGAAGAATGGTAGAAAATTTAAGCAAAAAGGGAGAAGGTTTGTTAAAGAAGAATGGTAGAAAATTTAAGCAAAGTGAGCTGAAGACAGGAGGAGAAATGGAAGTGAATGAGGGTGAAGTATCGGAGGTGGTAGGTGTGGTGAAGTACTCGGAGCCAGAGGCTTGCACAGAGGGTTAGTATAAAGATGAGTCTGTAACAGTAGGAGTGAAGTTTTTAGAAGAAGTGGACCCTGGCCTTTTGGCTAATCCATTTGGGGTTTCAGGATGGGTGAAAAAAGCGTTGGGTATAGTGGAATCGGTGAGGGTAACCAGAAGTGGTCTAGTGATAATTGTTTGTGTTTCTGTTGGTCAGAGGGAGAAGGCGCTTAGAGTTAAACAAATGGGGGAAATAATTGTGAATTGTTTTGCTCTCAAGAAAAGGGTGCCATTGAAAGGAGTGATCACTGGGGTAACAGTAAATGTAAAAGTTGACCAACTGAAGGGGAAGATTCCCGGTGTTTGTGATGTTTGTCGTTTGGTGCGACGCAAACAGGGTGGCGAGAGTGGGGAAACAGAAGAGTCATTGTCTGTTCTTTTGAGTTTTGAAGTTGAGTCTTTGCCTGACAAAGTGAAGTTAGGATATATAAGTTATCCTGTACGAGCTTATGTGCCGAATACATTACGATGTTACAGGTGTCAAACTTATGGGCATGTGGCAGCAGTGTGTAGGAGGGAGGTTCCAAGGTGTGAGAAGTGTGCAGTAAATGTAATGTAATGTAAATGTAAATGTAAATGTAATGGTAGGGTATTTCTCTATTTTATTTTTCAAGCAAAATATAAGGGAGTTGTACTCCAGTCTAGTAGGTGGCGGTAATGCAACAAATTGGATGCCAACCGCCGTTAAACCTTATCGAAGAAGAAGAAGGCTCTTCCCATTGCTGGGTCATCCTATCGAGTGGGCGGGGGCTTTGCCCGGTTTCGGAAAGGCAACGCGGAACCAACAAAAGTTTTTAGAAAATTGAGCTAGCTACGACATCAATTTCCCCCCACACGAAGACAGCCATCAAAATGACTTCTACGAACATGTTTTCAGGATTCGATAATGGCGCAAAGCCAAGTTCAAGGTAACACGAAATTGCATCCATAGGTTTGAATTGCAGCAGGCAAAATTCAAGCAACTAGCTAGCTATGTTCCTGAAAGCTACTGTATGTTCATTGGCCGCGAGCCCGCAAGTAATTTAGCTAGCTAGCTAGCTAGATGACACATTGATTATAATAACGGTAACTAGTTACCTAGCTCGCTACCAAAACTTAGCACAACGATTAAACCTCTCCTCTTTGTTACCCTATCCAATTCTGTATCAATCATATAAGACAAGTTAGTGATAAAATATTTATACAGTTTTGTCAGTAGTAAACCTTTCAGTTGGTAGAGCATGGCGTTTGCAACGCCAGGGTTGTGGGTTCGTTTCCCACGGGGGACCAGTATGAGAAAAAAAAAATGTATGCACTCACTAACTGTAAGTCGCTCTGGATAAGAGCGTTTGCTAAATGACTAAAATGTAAATGTAAAATGTAACAGCTAGTTAGCTTCTATGGGCCTTGGGCCC